TGGTTCTTTCGCATGATAGTTTTGGCAATAGTACATGCTGTTTGGTTACTAAAAGTCTTGTTGCAAGCACCCCTTGTTGCTGATCTCATGTGGAAACAACTCAGGTTGCCAAAACTCCACTAAGTTTTCACTTGTTTTGCTTTATTCAAGGTAGTCTCTGAAACTCTGACATATACAGACAAGCTATGCTCTTGGTTACTCCGCAATACAAGAAAAGTCCTTGCCCAATATTGTATCCCTTGGGTGTCTTTTTCTAATTGATTAACCTCATTCATCATCGTGATAAAGTAGATAGCTTTAATAAATATGTTATGAGATTCTGACCCATGATCCATGTGTGATGTAAGCTCAAATAGATAATCAAACCAAAGCTTTCTAAGAATTCTTCATAGTTCATAATCCGGTGGGCTAAGAGAAGACCCTTTGGACTCTTGAAGCCACAAGAGAGTTTATTTGGAAATACTGAACCATCATAACAATATATCTCCACAGATTTGTAACTTGAGTAATATTCCATTTAGGAGAAGCTTGATCTTAAGCCAATGTTCATCGGGCATAGTGGCACACTACACCGACAATGGATGCTGCTTACTTCCAACAAGATCATGTGTAGTTAAATTCTTGAGTCTCACCAATGTCCATTGAGAGTTTCACCGATGTCCATAGAGAGTTTCACCAATGTCCATTGAGAGTTAATTTCTACTCATGTAGATCCTTCATATTAGGAATTGAGTGGTACACTCTAACTTGCCTCAAATTCATAAAATTTAATTCTTATTGGTTGACACTTCAAGTCGAATATCAAGCAATTGACCCTCTTGCATTTCTTTCAATAACAAGTAATTGATCCTCTTGGATCTTTGTCATATCGATTTTTATGTCTTCTTGGATCTCTTTCTCATTGGCCAACTCCATCGTAAAATTGGATCATCTCAAAGACTCCATGTGCCATTATTTATAGCATATAAAATACAGTTATCTCCGAAACATAATATAGCAAAATGGAAAAAATCAAATATCATGACAATCAAAATTATCTCTGGAAAAATTAATATTTTTCTCATAGATCTCTTACCCCTCAAAGCATGCCAAATTATGGGTGTCACACATTCATCACACATATGTACACTCCTCAGATTACCAGCATGTCAAATATGCAAAGTCAAGTCAAAGGATTCTCATACCATTGGGCAGTTGCGTAGGGCTTATATGAAGAGATCCAACTTCCTTTTATCTCCATAGATGTCTAATACACAATAAATTTGATCGCAACCATCTTTGCAGTATTGATTACTCACTCTAACGAAGGAGCCATACTCCACTGATTTCTCATGCAGCCTGTGAGTACTTGGTTCAATACCAAAACCACCAATTTGGTAGAGAGTTAGTCTCTTTTTTATGTATGTACTGTCTACTGGGAATCAAGGAATCAAGTGGCACACTTGGATCCCTCTTTATAGTCGTCCTATATAATTCTCATTGATTGACCTCTTCGGTTGAATATCAATTCTTGGGTCTCTTTCTCATAGGCCGACTCTATTAGTCAAGTACTTCTTCGTATTTGGATCAAGATTGGTCAAAAACCATTGTAAAAATTATATCATCTAAAAGGCACCATGTGTCATAATTTATCTCCCATGTGCAAGATTAATGCCAAACATGTGTCGGATCCATAAAAAGATTGAGTATCAAGTGTGATACAGGCAAAGGCAATAGAAAAGTTCTACGATAAAAACTAGAGAATATATATTGATATAAGGCATAAAAATTAATTTTGTCATATGATGTTGAACTTCATCACCTGTGTACTGGGAATCAAGTGGTACACTCTGATTCCTCTCGGAGTCATCACATTCAATTCTAATTAGTTGACCCTGCGTCGGTTTAAGTAATTGACCCTCTTGGGTCTTTTTACGGTATCAAACAATTGACCTTCTTGGGTTTCTTTATTATATGGTCAAGATGATTCAATTATGTTAAAGACATTATATATCATATTTCAGGTCAATCACATATTAACTAGTCTTGTATTATAGGTAAAACTAACCTTTAAAATATTCTTTGGCATCAAAGACATACCAGAAAGTCCCAGACTTGTCTCTTTGTGCTGGTCACATGGAACCCAAATAAAGGGTAGCAGACTTTGTTATAAAAACAAATTTCATGGAAGAGAAATACAACAACCAGCAATTTATGCTTCTGGAAGATGAATAATTCTTCTTGCTTCATGAGACGGCGTCTATCACGCAAGGCGAAAATACGGAAAAACCATGATGAATGTTCCAGATGCACGTTTCTCCTCACTTTTGTATGCTATGGACGCGATCTCGATTGTTGCACACACAAATCTATTTACAATGCTCATTCTCTTCTAGGGCAAGATTGATCGAATACTTATATATCTATATTTCAAGGAAACTTGATCATCGTTTCCCACAGACGATGCCAAAATGTAAGGGGCAAAAATTGAGGATACATCCTACAAGAATAAAGATTGAACGTTTTCTGATAGGGGTGAGTTTTGAACTTAATCTCCCAATATTTTCTTTCTGCAAAACGAACAAACTGTCCAAGATCAAAGTGCTTCGATCGAAGACACTCCGATACTTAATTCAGTAATAAAACTGAGACAATTGCAAGAAGACAAGTAGAGTTCAACGTACCTTTCACTTTGGCTCCTTATGCCTTTTATAAAGTCTTTTTTCAGTTAGGGTTTCCATGATTTTTGACTTAAGGCGGTACATCTTCCCCTAATCAGGTGATTCTGTTCAGGAAGTTGCTAATATCTCTCCCGCAATTCCTTCTACTAAGCCTATTCGTTTAACTAGAATGCCTGAATTGTAGGCATCTTTTTAGCACCACATTACTGTTTTAAACAGTTCGGTCGTGACGAGGACCAAGCTCATTCCTTCCTTTCCAAGCTTTCTGATCGGCTCAGTTGCTATTTGATGACAACTTGATCAGATCTCATCCTCTGCTCTGCTGGGACAACCTAGTTGTCTGTTCGGTCGAGTTTTATCCTCTACTAGGTCGGACCAATTTTAGCTCGGTCGGGATAGCCTAGCTACTTCTTCTGCTCGGCCTAGATAGCCTAGCTACTTCTTCTGCTCGGCCCGGATTGCCTAGCTACTTGCTATACTAGGCCCAGATAGCCTAGCTACTTGCTCTGCTCGGCTCGAATAGCCTAGCTACTTGTTCTGTTCTGCTCGGCTCGACCAACTTTAGCTCAGCCGAAGAGCCTAGCTACTTGCTCGGTCATAGTAGAGTCATTGCAAATAACTCTTTTCAACACGTGCAACGTGCCGCATGTCCAAGTCTAATTGTCAAATGATGGTCAGAATTTATCGACCCCTTCACTTGCAAAACATTAACCAATGATAAATGAACTTGAGTGCAGTAAAACCTGGATGAGTTGGTTTAATGTCAAACAAAGGCCAAGACAAGAAATCGTAGAGTGGTCACAAAATTTAAATCCAACTAAAGTCAACCAGGAAAAAAAAAAGAGTCCAACTAAACTCACAAAATTTAAGTTTAATGGACTTGCATAATTTTCATATGATTGTCTGCATTAGTGTTCGGGGCTAAAAAACCCACATGCACATATTGAGGTAATCAGATTTAGAGGTCCTTTCGTTTCCAAGGGTCTTAATCATTCCATTGATGAGAAAAGAATTGATTCATATATAGATGAATAGTAAGAAAATAAAAAATAAAACTAAACATGTAGATGAATAGTATCACTGGAGTTGGATGGTGTTTAATGCTGTCACTTGTAGAAAAAGAGGCTTCCCCATCAAAAGTAAGAGAGGCACATTAACCAACAACACTACTAAATTGAATGGATTTTTTATCTTGCACCATGTTCAGAGAGTTGACACATAGATAACAAAAAAAAATTTCACTTTTGTTTGTATTCTTATTATTGTGTTTGTAATTATTTTTACCAATTTTCTCTGGTACCAAAAAAATTATCAGTTTTGTGAATATTTTTTCATTTTTGTTGGCGTTTTTATCATTGTTGTGCTAATTATTTTTATCATTTTTCTTCGGTATCACAACAATGATAAAAAAATAACCTAAAAAATGATAAATGTCAGCACAGTAAAAAAGTGGTAATTTTTTTTAACCGTAGAGAAACACACACAATGGTAAATTTTTTTTACCGAAAAGTGGTAAAAAAAATGATGACTCTGTTTGTGGTAAATTTTTTTTACCGAAAAGTGGTAAATTTCTCTCTCTCTCTCTCTCTCTCTCTCTCTCTGTTTGTTTGGAGGTTGAGGGAGTGAGATCCCTACAATAATCAGACACATTTTCTCTTTATTTACACATTTTCTCTTTATTTCTATTATTTGTGAATCAAATACCATGAATTAATTCAGGTAGACCCATTATATATAAGTGAATTTTTCACTTATTAAAAGTATAAGATATTTTTAAGAAGAAAAATTGAGAAAAAATAATCAGAGAGGATCTAGACCTAACTTTGGAGGACTCAGTTAGACATAACCACAACTTTGTGCACCAAATGGGGATGTCGTAATTTTGTTTTGTTTTGTGAGAGTGAATAAAAAAATTATTTCGGGAGAGTAGTATAATTCATAAATCTAAAAATTTAGAAAAAAAATTTCCGTTATGTTATTGTACCAGGTCATGAAGCCAAAGAAGCAAGCCCACCGGAAAATGCCAATGTCAACCACCACTTAACAGTCCCAAAGCTTAGACAATACAACTGGTGGATCCAAATGGTCATTTTCTCTCTCCTAGTCCTCTCTGGCCAATCAGCTGCCACACACTTGGGAAGACTCTACTTTGACAAAGGTGCAAAGAGCAAATGGATGGCAACCCTAGTCCAAACCGCAGGCTTTCCCATCCTTATTCCCTTTCTCTTCGTCTCACCGACCAAACATGGGATTGCACAAAGTAACCAAACAAAACCACCTTCTACCTTAATCCTTGTCTCTTTATATACCTTTCTTGGTGTATTCTTAGCAGCATATAGTATGTTACACACAATTGGGCTCGAATACCTTCCAGTTTCTACTTATTCTCTCATTTGTGCAAGTCAATTGGGCTTCAATGCTCTTTTTTCCTACTTCCTTAATGCCCAAAAATTCACTCCTTTTATAGTGAACTCTTTATTCCTCCTCACCATTTCCTCCGCACTCCTTGTTTTCTCAAATGATGACTCTGGAAACTCCAATAAAACATCACAAGGGAAGTACGTGATCGGGTTTATGTGCACTGTTGCTGCATCTGCTGGTTATGCATTGAACCTCTCTATAACCCAACTTGCATTTCGAAAAATCCTTAAGAGGGAAACTTTTAGAGTGGTCATGAATGTAATAATCTACCAATCTCTCGTAGCGACGTGCGTGATCCTAGTTGGGCTTTTCACTAATGGGGAATGGAGGAATTTGAGAAGAGAGATGAAGGAATATGAACTTGGTAACATATCGTACGTAATGAAGTTGGTATGCACTGCTTTGACATGGCAAGTGTTTAGCATTGGGGCAATTGGGCTGATTTTTAAGGTCTCTTCACTGTTCTCCAGTGTCATAAGTACCTTAGGTTTGCCCATTGTTCCGGTTCTTGCCGTGTTCATTTTCCAAGAAAAGATGACTGGAGTGAGGTGGTTGCAATGTTGTTGGCCAATTGGGGTTTTGCATCTTATATTTATCAGCATTATCTCGATGATTTGGAATCGAAACCTGAAAGCAAAATTGTTAATGAAGTTTCTCTTGTTGAAAGAGCTTAGGTAGCATTTGAGAACACTGTTTACATTTATCTTTAATTGTTTGCGTATTTGACAAATTTGTTAAATTGCGCTACTTTTGGAAATTATTTTTTCTTTTTTGTTCGATTTTTTCTTATTTTGACAAAAGCATAAATGCATGTATAATAATATACTCGTGCACATATGAATGTATTGGTAAAATACTTTAATAGTCCCCTAAATATTGTTCATTTTCATTTCCATTCTTTTAATTGTGTTATTAGTTCATCAATTTTTAGTTTGTGGTGACTGAGGTGTTCACGAGCATCTCACATGAGCACACTTGATGGTCACTTTGTGTTGTGAATGTGCAACATGGTAAACAACTAAGAAAGAGATATTCAAGAATATAAGATTTACGTAGCTCGATAGAAATTCCACCTATCTTCACAAAAATAGCGTTTCCTTGATTATCATCAGAATCCAAAGGATTGCATCATATTTATAGACGCTAGGTAATAACCCCAATCATAGGCCAACTAGGAAATATAGTCCTAGTAATCAATTCCTTGTAAAATTTTTGGATTACTACCAGTACATCTCCGACACCTGATATACATTGGAAACCTCCAATGTACCCGTTCCTTGCACTGGGGTATTCTCTGCATCCCCTAACCTATTATTCAACCCCGACAACCAAACAGTAGTACAACTGAACTATCCCATTAACTTTTGGGTTTAATGAATATGAGTCACTTATTATTTCTAACAATCTTCACCTTGGTGAATAATTCACCATTCTGAAAAAGTACTTTAACTTGTCTCCATCGCAAACCCATAGGTTGGGGATGTCATTTTTTTCTCACATTGAGAAATATTAACCAATTCCAAGAAAAATGCTTGAACCTATCAAAAAGATTTGGCTTTGTCAACTTGTCAGCTACATTCTCCGAAACATGCCCCAATTCTAGTATTATCTCCTTATAGATAATTAACTCTCTCTCCTTGTGAAACCTCACATCTTTATACTTTTTTTTATTCGGAAAGTAAAATATATTGCATATGAAAAACATTTACAAAGCTGTAAAGGCAATGAAAAACAAAAGACAGCAACCAGCCTAACAATCACAAAAGACAACAACCAATGAAACATCCAGCTACAGCTGCCAAAGAAACCAGCTGCACAGTAAGGTGAACAGTGGTAACAGGGCAGCAACAGAAACACAACGATAGCAAGGTGGGCTGCATCAGAACACAAAAGACAACAAGGTGTGCTACCAAAAAATCCAGCAAGGTGAGATTCCAAGGGAAGTTAGTGATTGACCACTTCCAGACAAATACCACCCAAATAGATCAAAGGAATCCACTAGAACAGGGAGAGAGGATTAGAAGAGACAGCTCTGAGGAAGTCTCCACTTTTGAACTATTTGGATGTTGCTACATGATGTCTTGAATTTTAGAGAAGTCAGTCGACGCCACATTGTCAGCAGTATAAGACGGGTAACAGTGCTTGAATCAGTATACTGATTTCTGAATCTTCTATTATTTCTCTCCATTCACGAGTGATAAACTATGGCAACCAAGCATATTTTGCAAATCAAGTTCTTCATCGAATCACCCTTCCAGTTAGTAGCAGTCCAATCCACAAAGTCATCCCAAGGTTTAGGCTGCCAAATCTCCCCCAACAAATGAGAGAGTAGCAGACCAAATACTAGAGGAATATGAGTAAGCAAAGAATAAATGAGGAAGAGTTTCAGGAAAATTCCTGCACAGAATACAACCTGTTCCCAAGTGAGCAACATAGGATTGCAATCGAACAAGTGTGCTGAGGTTGCACTTTATTGCCAGCCAAAGAATGAAGCACATTTTAGGGATGGATTTCCCAGACCATACCAGCTTAAACCAGCAAACAGGCGATCCCCTTTGTCTGATGTGATCCCAAGCAGAATTGGAGCTAAATCCCAATATATTATTGGGGGTCCACTTGACGGTATCCTCATTAGTAGGATTGGGTTGGTAGGTAGGCATGGAATTAACCACAACCTGGATGAGAGTGGAATTTGGTGGCCATTGTTAATAATACTGCTAACAGGCTCCTCCACATTGAGGTGAAAGTCCTCAAATCCATGCATACAGACAAATGAATCCAGAGGCCCCATAGGATACCAATTATCATAGCAAAGCATTGTAGCTTGCCCATTCCCAATTGCATGCTTGATGAATGGCCTGGTTAAGGATCTTAATTTAAGCAAACTATGTCAATTCCAAGAGCTTGATTGAGTGGCTTTAAGTCTCTAGAAACTTCTGCCCCTTAAGTGATAAATGTGAGTCTATATACTTTGTCTTGGTAAGATACACTTGATATTTTGCCAAATAAATGGTGCTCTAACTATCACAATACACATGAATTCCTCCTTGCTTTAAACCAAGCACTTTAACCAACCATCTCAACCACAATGCTTCCTTGGCAGCCTCAGTCACTGACATGTACTTTGCTTCAGTTGTAAATAGAGCCACTAGTTTATTGTCACATGGATATCCAACAAATAGTCGCTCTTGCAATTGTAAACACATGACGTGACAAAGTGTAGGGATGGGAATAAGAAGTAGGACTCATTCCTAAAGTGACTAAACCAACTGTGGATGCTTCTAAAAAATCTGCCGAAGTTTCGGATCCGCAGACCCATCATGGTGATGTTGTTTCTAGTCATTATGAGCAAAAGGAAGATGTTTGTCCAGCGAACCATGCTAAAACCGTTGGGTGAGGGTGTTGAACAAGACATGGAAGTTGAGGACATTTTATCGGTGCCGACAGACAACAGTGTACTGAAAGATTTGTTCCGTACACTCCCAATGATTGGGATATTTTAGAAGCCACTATGGTGGCTCAGGGTGATAGTTTGGTGGAGGCTCCATTTTTTATTTTGCAATCAAAATTCCAAAGAAAACTATAGAGAAAAATGAGGGACAACTCTTATAATACCTGTTATCAGGTGGAATCTCTCCATGGCTAATGAAGGTCTTGTACTGGAATATAAGAGGGGTGGGCAATGACCCGTTTCGATGTGGTCTCATGAATTATATCACTCATTACCAACTAGATATTATTTGTATTTTAGAGCCTATGGTGAATTTTGATTCTATCCCTGCTCGTTATTGGCAAGGTCTAATTTTTATTTTTTTTTAAAATTAAGCCCATTTAGGGCAATTTTTTATTGATCACGCAAATTCTTGTACCTTATTTTCAATGTTTCCATGCAAATACCACTTTTTGATATTAGGTTGGGATCTAGCAATCTATTTGATATTGTCATTCTGGAGTTGGCCATACTACAATTATTATGCATTCTAAATATCTTGACAGTTTGAACAAATTGTTATCTAGCAATCAATTTGATATTGTCTTTCTCGGAGCCCTTTTTTTTGTCATCAAAAAAACATCAACTTCTTGACACGATCCCTAATGACGGACAACAGAATCAACACACTTTCCCACTGTCAAACAATCCCATCAATCCATATCAATCTCTCCATTTTAATTTTAAATTTTGCAATAAAAAAAACCAAAATATTATTAACACTATAAAAAAAAGTATTTTTTTGCGACGTCTTTTTTGCGAAAATTTTTTAAAAACGTCACAAATAAACTTTTTACTTAAATAAAAGATTTGAAAAAAATAATTTAATTGATTTTTCAAACATTTTTTAAAAATGTCGCAAATAAACTTTTTACTTAAATAAAAGATTTGAAAAAAATAATTAAGTGATTTTTTGCAACGTTTTTAAAAAACATCGCAAATAAACTTTTTACTTAAATAAAAGATTTGAACAAAAAATAATTTAATTGATTTTTTCCGACGTTTTTAAAAAACGTCGCCTATAAACTTTTTACGTAAATAAAATATTTGAAAAAACAATTTAATTGATTTTTTGTGACATTTTTTAAACTTTTTACTTAAATAAAATATTTGAAAAAAAATAATTTAATTGATTTTTTGCAATATTTTTAAAAACGTCGCAAATAAATTTTTTACTTAAATAGAAGATTTGAAAAAAGAAATAATTTAATTGATTTTGCGCGACATTACTAAAAAATGTCGCCAATAAACTTTTTCGTAAATAAAAGATTTGAAAAAAATAATTTAATCGATTTTTTGCGACGTTTTTAAAAAATGTCGCAAATAAACGTTTTAGTTAAATAACAAATTTTAGAAAAAAATAATTTAATTAATTTTTCGTGACGTTTGTTAAAAACGTCGCAAATAAACTTTTTACGTAAAATTAAAGTTTTGAAAAATAACAATGTAATTGATTTTTCGCGACGTGTTTAAAAAACGTCGCAAATAAAATTTTTACTTAAATAAAAGATTTGAAAAAAAAAACAATTTATTTGATTTTTCGCAACGTTTTTAAAAAATGTCGCAAATAAAGTTTTTACTTAAATAAAGATTTGAAAAGAAAAATAATTTAATTGATTTTGCGCGATGTTTTTAAAAACGTCGCTAATAAATTTTTTACGTAAATAAACGTTTTGAAAAAAAAAAATTAATTGATTTTTCGCGACGCTTATATCGCAAATAAACTTTTTACTTAAATAAAAGATTTGAAAAAAAAAATAATTTTATTGATTTTTCGAGACGTTTTTAAAAAATGTCGCAAATAAACTTTTTACTTAAATAAAGATTTGAAAAAAAAAAACAATTTAATTGATTTTGCGCAAAAACGTCGCCAATAAACTTTTTACGTAAATAAAAGATTTGAAAAAAAAATAATTTAATTGATTTTTCGCTACGTTTACGTTGCAAATAAACTTTTTACTTAAATAAAAGATTTGGAAAAAAATATTGTAATTGATTTTTCGAGACGTTTTTAAAAAATGTCGCAAATAAACTTTTTACTTAAATAAAGATTTGAAAAAAAAAAATTTAATTGATTTTGCGCAAAAACGTCGCCAATAAACTTTTTACGTAAATAAAAGATTTGAAAAAAAATAATTTAATTGATTTTTCGCGACGTTTTTAAAAAACGTAGCAAATAAACTAGTAAACATTAAATTAATCAAATAAACTTTCAATTTCATTCAATGAGCACTGAATTCATTAAATTAACATTCAAATTTTCAAATTAACATTCAGATTCAACTAATTAATATTAAATTAATCAAATAAACTTTCAATTTCATTCAATGAACACTCAATTCATCAAATTAATTTTCAAAATATTAAATTAACATTCAGATTTATCAAATTGAAATACAATTTCATCAAATTAACATGTAATTTCATTAAATTAACACCAAATTAACATGTTAACTAGTTGAATTTGAATGTTAATTTAGTGAATTAAATGCTTATTAGAAAAAATTGAATGTTAATTAGATGAAATTGAATGTTAATTTGATGTTAATTTGATGAATTGAATGTTAATTTGATGTCGATTTGATGAAAGTACGTGTTAATTTGATGAAATTGAATGTCAATTTGATAAATCTGAATGTTCTGGTTTTAATTAATTTAATGTTAATTTGATGAATTGAATGTTAATTTAATGAAATTGAAAGTTTATTTGATTCATTTAATGTTAATTAGTTGAATTAACATGTTAATTTAGTGAATTAAATGCTTATTAGAAAAAAATAAGTGTTAATTAGATGAATTGATTGTTAATGTGGTGTTAATTTGATGTCGATTTGATGAAATTACATGTTAATTTGATGAAATTGAATGTCAATTTGCTAAATTTGAATGTTATGGTTTTAATTTGAATGTTAATTTGATGGATTGAGTGTTAATTTAATGAAATTTGAATGTTAATTTGGTGAATTAAATGCTTATTAGAAAAAATTGAATGTTAATTAGAAAAAATTGAGTGTTAATTCAAAAAATTGAATATTAATTTGTTGAATTGAATGTTAATTTGGTTTTAATTTGATAAATTAAATTTTAATTGGATGAAATTACATGTTAATTTGGTGTTAATTTGAGGAAATTACATGTTAATTTGGTGTTAATTTGAGAAAATTGCATGTTAATTTGATGAAATTGTATGTCAATTGATAAATCTGAATGTTAATTTGATAATTTGAATGTTAATTTAGTGAATTAAATGCTTATTAGAAAAAATTGAATGTTAATTAGATAAAATTGAGTGTTAATTTGGTGTTAATTTGATGAATTGAATGTTAATTTGGTGTTAATTTGATAAATTAAATTTTAATTGAATGAAATTACAAGTTAATTTGATGTTGATTTGATGAAATTACATGTTAATTTGATAATTTGAATTTTAATTTGATGAATTGAGTATTAATTGAATAAAATTTAAAGTTTATTTGATTAATTTAAATGTTTACTATCTGCAATGTTTTTTCAATTTTGTCGCAAATTTTATTTTTTGGCAATTTTATTTGTGACAATTTTTAAAAACGTCGCTAAAAAAGTGATGCCCTCCCAATTGTTTTTGGTCCGAGAGATGGCTGGAATTGATAAATTTTAGTTATTAAAGCAAATAAAATATTAATACTTTTTTGCGACGTTTTTAGGAATACGTCGCAGATAATAATTTTTATGTTTGGATTAAATAAAATTATTATGTAGCGATGTTTTTATATCTGTCGCAGAATTCAATTTATACTCAAAACGACGTCGTTTTTGAGTATTTAAATACGTCCATTTGGCCCAAGCAGCCCCTTCTTCTTCACAATCCCCTTTCCACTTTCCACACTCTCTCTCTCTCACTCACCGTCTCCCTCTCTCTTTGTTTTTCTGTCTCATTACCCCCCTCTTTGTTCCCTCTCTTTTTACTTCGTTAGTCCCTTCTCTCTCTCTCTCTCTCTCTCTCTCTCTCTCTCTCTCTTAATCCGAACCGAACCAAAGACAGCTACCACCTCCGGCACCATCAACACCTCACCTACGGAACCGTAGCTTGAATCGGCATTGTGGAGAAGCAGTAACCCTAGCTTTAATTGGCGATCTTTGAATTCCAGAGTGAGAGCTTGAATCAGGTTTCAATCTCTCTTCTCTCGATCTGATTTTTTTTTTTTTTGCTTTTTTTTCTGTATATATTGGATTGTTCGGTTAGTAAACTTGAATGCCGGTTTAATTTCATTTCTATTAAAGTGAGATTTTTTTTAAATTTTGGGCATTTTCTATTTTTTCCCCTTTTGTTTTGCCCTAAATCGTTCCAGACCAGCGACCACAGCCTCCCCTTTTGTTGAATCCCTAACATTATCCAGCTGACTGTTTGTTAAATTTAATTTTTTTGACCTTACTATTTCTTAGTTTCTTTGTAAATCAAAAATCCTTTGTATATTGGACTTTTAGTCTGCTTAGGACACAACCCTCATGATAGCTATGGCTAAGACGGGACTCTACAGTTGTAAGTGGGGAAGAATGCCAGTTGTGTATTGTGGGAAATTGACAACCTTGTGCATTCATAGCCCATTATGTCCTTAGATTACAAGAACAATTGTAAGAGGCCTAGCTTTGATATCGTATTAGAGCATCTAATTCAAAACTAATCGGGAATGGGAAGAGTGTCCCTCTCGAGTATGTAAATAATCTTGTTTGTTCCTAATTTTTTGTTGTGGGATACAAGCTCTCTTTACCCTAGGCAACTAAGTGGCTTAAATCTGTTGAAAGACTTTATGACAGTTATTTAGTTGACAACATAGCCTTGGACATTTGGAAGACAACCTTGCGTTAAAGTTTATCAAGGTTGCAATTCCAAGTGTGATGCTCCTGTATGCTTTTTTGAATGGTTTGTATTGTTCATCGTATTTCATGCCTTAACACCAAATTGGATATTCTGGGAAGATTTCACTTATCTGGATGTATCTCAATGCATGTTGAACAAAACCATTTTGCATGTGGCTGGAAAATACTTGGAGCCAGACATATCAGGATGTCTAGGACAATTTCTTGCCCTTGGTACCAAGGTTTATGTTCCGTTCCACTGTATATTCACTTGATTAGGTTGTTGGGTGTTTGTCATGGCATAACTTTATATGTTGAGTATGTGTATTAGGCAAGCATATGGTGTGGAAAACATTTAAAGATGACACATATATCAACCGAGGAAGCTTAAAACAGAGGTGGGATGATTTGAGTTGGTATACTCGAATTACGGCACTGAATTAATATATATATATATATATATATATATATATATATATATATATATATATTCATCCTTTTATTCTGCGTGTGTTGAATAGAATTGGATGGTGCTTCGTGAAATGCCCGTCCACTATTGTTTGCTTGTGTGTGTCTGTGAGAGAGAGAGGGAGAGAGTGTGTGTGTTGTGTGTTTGGGGGGGGGGTGTTTGTGAGTGACATATTTGTGTCTATGTTTGACTTTTAGTTTACTTTTCTTGAATTTTCCTGATTGTGTAGAGGATATACTTGGGGCTTTTGAGAGGTGGAGTCATAGAGAGACCTTACCTGCTGATGCACATAAGAAGGTTGGTTAAGTAGTGTTGGTGTAATAGTGTATTTTGGATTGCTACTCTTATATTTGGATACTGAATATGCATGTTAGGTTAATGTGCTCCTATTGTAAGAGGCATAATGAAACCGAAGTCCCAGATCCTTACCATGGTGGATCGCAAGGCTTCATAAAGGTAACGCATAACTGATTCTTCTTTCTGTTGCTAGGAGATATGATATCAGGAACAAATTATATTAGTTATTTTGAAAACCTGAAGAATCCAAAAATGTTTATATGAAGTGTTCCTGATGAGTTTTTACTTTCACAACTGCTTTCTTGGAAGTTTTAAGAGGTGAGACATGATGATTTCCTCACAATCATAAGATGCATCACCTTACATGACGAAAAGTACACAGACCTTTTAGAACAACATATGAACATAACAATTATTAGGAACTCATGTATCTAGAAGCCCCTGAGCATGGAACACCCACTTCCCATGGATGTATCGGCAAAACCAATGTTAAACAGTAGCACGTAGCCATGATGAACCAGTTCCACTGTTCTGTTGTGCATAGAAAATTGTTTTATGCTAATTGATCCCTTGTTCATAATGCCAAACCCACATCTAACTATAGTGAACCTATTGTGGTCACCATGGCGGCCTATTGTTTTTCTGAAATTATTCATTGATTGGGATATTACCCTATGTTTTGCATCTTGGTTGGTACATGAGGATGAAAGCATTGTAGCCTTTTTTTCCAGATAAGTGTAATTTGACACCCCCCCACCCGCGGTTTCCTAATTGGTTCTTCCTGGGTTCAAGCATCAAGGCTATAATGATGAAACTTAAAAATGGGGCTTTCTCCTCTTGGCTAGTTATTGAAGGCCAATCTCTTCATTGTAAATGTGCCCGAAGAAGTCCCAGCTTTCATCCATGATCCTTTAATCTGCTTTAAGTTAAGCAGCTTTTGAAAACTTGCTTTCCTATATCTAACTGGTATGGATAGATGGCCCTTATATAATTGTTCTTTAGCAGGTGCACTAACATGGAGCCCTATTATTCATTATTGCTTGCAGGTTTAACCAACTTATCCAAATTTTAGTAATGTTTATACCCCTTGAATTTTGACTGGACGTTGTATATTTGGAATGAAATTGCACTCATTCACTTGTTTTGTATGTAACAGAAAAGAAAGGACAACTATTCAATTTCTACCAAGTACTAAATGGAGAAAAAATTTGCCCTATTCAGCCTTTGAGTTCACACTATTAGGCTCACCCCATGAGCAAAATGCACCATTCCTTATGCAATTGGTGTTATTTCAGACAATTATCTTTTTTTATGCACACAGAAAAGGTGTCATTCTGTTTCTTCATGTCTTGTTTGAGATTGGTAGTTAATTCTGCTCATGTAACTATGTTTCTTATTTTATGCTTTAAAAGATTTCTTTTTTTATTCTTTTGAGGTGAACTGGGAACTTCAACATGTCTGATGAAATATGAACATTGAGTATTGGGAAATAATCCAAGGAAAATTAATTTTGCAAGGGGATTTTCCTGTAAAATATGTTGTATAGGAAACAGCTAGCTAACGCTGTGATCCTTTGTTTGGTCTTCGAGCTAACCTTGTACATTTTTTCACTGTGATTGAATAAGTTTTCCTTCCTCACTATTAACAGTTTTCCCTCATTATAATTTTGCTTTCTTAATGCTAGGTATGAAATATTTGTCATGGTGCAAGGTTTGTGCTTGCTGTAGGCTGTATTATTAATTCAGGAAACCTTACCAAATCTGACATGCGCACAAATGTTTTGAAGCTATCATCTGTCCTCTGACATCCTTAAACTTTCTTTTCAGCTACTCTTGGATTTTCTGATCTTCTCTGCTGCTAGTTTTTCGCCTTTGATGAGGTATCCTGCTCTGGGTGACAAGGAATTGATGGCTATTGTTGAGAAATTCATTTTGGAAAATTAAACTTGATAGAAGTTTCAATATCATCAAGTTATAAAATTTTACCTTTGTTAAAAAAAAAATGATACTGTTCATTTCTCCAATGAACAAAATATCCACCAGTTAGATTCTTGGGATCTATGACAGTTTCACTTATATTAATCGTTCAAATTTTGTCTGTGGCATTTCTGGTGCCTTTGTCATTATTTGGAGGTTCTGGAAACTATGACTCCGCTTTGTACATTGTAGCTTTGTACATTGTAGCAGTAAAAGCTAATGCATTGGAAAAGGTTGAATCCGAGTTTTTTGACCTTGTTGAGGCTTCAAAGAAAAGACCCACATTTTCTCAATTCACGAAGGATTCGTCAGTACCTGATGATACTAGAGTAAAGACTATTAATGAAGTTTGTGCTCAACCTAAATTTTCGGACTTCACAAAAAACTTTTTTGTTATGATGATTTGTTAGTGATCACTTTTGTTAATGTATTAAAATATTTTGGGAAACTTGTATGTAAATTACGTTGTTGGATATTTTGATGATTTGTGTAACTTTTATTTAGTGTATTATATTTTATGTTTTTTTGTAGTATGATATTTGATGTTAGTTTGTGTTGGTTGTTGGATGGAAAAGATGTGAAATGTATTAATTATGTTAGTTTTTTATTGAACACATATATTAGTGGTGTATATGTGAAAATTTTTATTGGAATACAATTTTTTATGAAGGATTATTTTTTTTAAAAATGAACTTTTTGCGACGAAATTAAAACTAAAAATTGTATGAACAATCTTTTTAGCGACGATTTTTTAACGTCGCAAATGTATTTATTCAATTATTTTTTATATTATTAATTTATATAAAAATTTATTAGTTACGATTTTTTTTACGTTGTGAAAAATTAATTAAATTATTATTTTTTTACATATTTTATTCATGTAAATTTATTTGCGACGTTTTTTTATGTCGCAAAAAATTAATTAAATTATTATTTTTAAAAATTTTTTATTTATGAAAAAATTATTTGCGACGATTTTTTTACGTTGTGAAAAATTATTTAAATTATTATTTTTTATATTTTTTATTTATGTAAAAATTTATTCGCGACAATTTTTTGCGTCGCGAAAAATTAACTAAATACATTTTTTTATTTTTTTACGTTGTGGAATAGATTTTAGCGACATTTTTTTAAATTTTAGTGACATTTTTTTTTCGTCGCAAAATATATTTTTTTGCGATAAAAATAAAATTGTGTCACAAAATACTTTCTGCGACGAGGATATTGTGACAAACCCACGACGAAAAAAACCGTCACAAAAAACAATTGGTGACAATTTTTTTTTTTATTTTGTGACGAACAAAATCGTCGCAAATTTTTTTTTTTTGTAGTGTTAAATTACATATATTGCAAGATCAGCTCAATTTTTGATATTGTTTGGTGTCTTTAGGTACAGACTACTGCTAGTTCATATATACATGATATCTCATATCATTTTCAAATTATTTTAATATATAGAAGTTGAATTTAAGGCGATGATAAATATATTTGCCCACGTGATAAGTCGATTATACACTTTTCTACATAGTAGGTTAACAGAACATGTACTCGACATGAAATAAGTGGCTTATCATTTACTAATTTCCAAAAATGGAAAATAATATGACCCACAAACCCAAATAATAAATGAATTAAATATTAGCAGTGTCAAACATGAATAATTCTACCTTCGTGGGACAACAAATTTAGCTTGTATAGTGTGAAGAACATTTTTTATATTTTCTATTTTTTTTTTTTCATTTCTTGATCAAGTATTCTACAAATTTCTGTTGAATTGATGGATTCTTACTTGGTTTTATAAACATCTTAGACCAGGTAAATTTTAATTTATGGAAGGTCGATATGTGGTAATAGAGAAAAAGTCCTTATAAATTATAGATGGTACACATGTTATGTTTGTTGACGTGAACAAGACATGTACATAGACTAGTCAAATTATGGTCAACTACCATTTCATATTGTAGCAAAAATAACACAGTCGAACATCCAACAATTGTCAACCCTAGCTTAGGGCTTATTAACTCTCTCAAAGTCAAGAACACAAGAATCAATGTGGATCCAAGTGGCTGTCAAGAGAAGTTAAAACACATACATGGACTCCATACATCATCTTCATCCTTTGCTCCATAGATATGGCATTACACTACTATCAATTTCATAAAGGGAGAGATAGTCCTTGTATTTAAGACCTTATTTTATGGTCCCATATTTCCAAAAATAAAAACTTCCATTGCTTTTAAGGTTGAAAATGAGGCGTATTAGTAGTTAAATTGCTGAAAAAATATACACCATTAGATATGAGTGACCATTCAAGCACTAGTGGTTGGTTCTGGACTAAACCTTATATTTAGAGGGAAAAAAATTCCTATCAAGGCTTTCACTGATAAACTTTGCGAAAAGATCATTAACAATGTCTACAAAAAGTCTTATGGCATGATCCATGGCATCAATCAGGTGGGGAATGATACGCTTCGGGGCTTGAGTTTTGATACTGATGATAGAGTGAGTGAAATTATTAGTGATGGTTCTTGGAGTTGGCCTGGGACAACAATCCAAATCCTTGATGACATGTAACCAAATCCAGAAAGATACATTAGGTTTTAGCATCCAATCAACATGGGAGGCAATCAGACCTAAGGGGCAGTATTAGAGTTAGACCAGCATTGTTTGGTACTCAAATGCAGTTCCCAGATTCAGTTTTGTCTTATGGTTTTCAATACAACAGATGCTTGCTACTGATGAGAGATTTATAAGCCATGGGATGGTCCATAGTGGTTAGTGTCTTTTCTGTAGAGGAGAAAGTGCAACCCACATTCATCTTTTTTTCAACTGTCCTTACACTCATTGGCTATGGTTATCTCTCCAAGTGAAGTGTCTTGTTTAATGCACTAATATGAATTGACATAGTTTCATTCCATAGTTTGTTGCAAACATGAAGGGGAAGGGTTTGAGCAAGGTAATCAACAAACTTGCTTTATCTACTTTAATTTACTTAATTTGGAGAGTGAGGAATTATAAAAGTTTTAAGAACAACTTCAAGGATGTTAATTCCTTAATAAACAAGGTAATTGAGAATATAAGATATAACTTCATCTAATCAAAGGTGTTAGCAAAAATATGCCAAATCTCTTGTTTATTAAGGAACCCCTCTTGTGCAATCCAAATCCTTGCTGACATGTAACCAAATCCTGAAAGAGAGGACTGTATTGAATGGTTTCTAAATATATCAGGTTTTAGCATTCAATCAGCATGGGAGACAATCAGACCTAAGGAGCAGCATCAGAGTTGGACCAACATTGCTTGGTTAATGCAGTTCCCAGATTTAGTTTTGTCTTATGATTTTCAATGCAACAGATGATTTCTACCCATGATATAATTATAAGCCATGGGGTGGTCCATAGTGGTCTATGTCTTTTCTATAGAGGAGAAAGTGAAACCCATAATCAACTTTTTTTTCAATTGCCCTTACACTGATAGGCTATGGTTATCCCTCCAAGTGAAGTGTCTTGTTCAATGGCCTAATATGAATTGACAGAGTTTCATTTCTTGGTTTGTTGCATTATCAATGGGAAGGGTTTGAGCAAGCTAATCAGAAAACTTACTTTATCTACTTCATTTTACTTAATCTGGAGAGAGAGGAATTATAGAGTTTTTAAGAACAACTTCAAGGATGTTAATTCCTCAATAAACAAGGTAATTGAGAATAGAAGATATAACTCCATCTAATCAAAGGTGTCAACAAAAATATGCCAAATCTCTAGCTTTAAAAGCAATGGGGATTTGCCAGAAACGATTTTTGAGCCTCCTTGAGAGGATGTAGTGTGCGGAATGATTTTTGCACAATAAATGAGATGACAGATCTCTCTCTTGGTGAGCTTGCATCTATTTGGAATGTCTTCTAAATAGAACCCCTCTTGTGCTCCGACCATGAACGGTTATGGAGACCTCTCACTTGAGAGAGAAGAGTTAGAAGGGCGCCAGAGTGTTCTCCGGTATGACCCCTTTGATGCTCAAGTCAGTATTCGAGAGATGGTGGGATAGATACCTTTCCTTTGAGCTTGAGTGTGCTATTTATTCCTTCTAGGAATTGACTGAGGCAGACAGTTGGGTCCCCTTGAAGGGAAAGTTTCTAGTTGGTTTATACAGGGGACAACAAATGGTATGGTATGCAGATCTCGATCAAAGTGTTTGCTTTTATCTATGCCAGATGATTCCGCAGGTTCGCACTCAGGAACCCGAGAACTTAATGTATCCATCTCGGCTCCTCTGAGCATGGAAAGTTTCTATTGCTTTTGTCAAATTATTTAATGCTCCTAAGGCATGGACATACATGCGCATGGGCATTTTAGCCAATCTCCCATTTGAGGGGCCATGAATTAATTGTTCCATGCACTGTACATTTTTATCGTTGGTCATTGAATTGCTTTTTTGATCATTCTTATTGCCTTGGATGGTCAATAACAGAGAGTCAACCTTGTCCCCAAGCCGTAATGTTTAGAAACTACTTTATCTTAATCAAAAGGCATGCTTGCCTTAGTCCATTATCTCTACCTTTGAAGTCAAATTTTGTCGTCTTGCAATGTGGTCGGCCCCGAGGTGAGTCATCACTGGACGCCGAAGGTATCTCCAACCGAGGAGGGGCTTCTCCACTGAGATGAGTTACTCGAGGATGCCTAAGTGTCATAGACATTGCCAACGTACACATGACTCCCATAACGAGGAAGGACTCACACGCCAAGAACTTGACTTGCGACGCGTGTTGCTCTCTCACTATTCGCCAAAGTGTCCTATCAGCTACCCCCAACCCTTGATCTTCGTACGAACCGAGTGGCGTGTCAGATGGAGATGAAAGGACTTGTGTCATTTGGCTTTTCACAAGAGGCGTGTAGCCATTTTCCTGCCTTTAGGGATCGTACCGTATTTATTTGTGCTCATTTTGGAATGTGAGTAATGATGGCATCTTCGATGTTTATGAGTGTTCCACCCCCTCATTCTCTTCATTCTCTTCTCTGTGAGACCTTTCTGTAAAGTTCACTGAAAAATCTACTCAAAGACCACGACCTTCCATTAGAAGTTCATCAGACCTCTCGAGTTTGTCGAAGAAACTTGAACATCCACATACATTAGACCCCTATGGTCTGGTTTGGGGTGGAACCGGGGGGTCGGGTCCAAGAATTATGGGCGGTGGGTACGACTGGTTTGGTAGCACCAAGTTGTGTTGGGTTTCGACTGTGTTGGTTTTTATCTTGAGGAGGTTGGCAAATGGTTTTAGTTTTGGGAAATGGGCAAGGTTTGATGATGAGATGGGCAGAGATTGAGAGATGGGCTGGGTTTGCTTATCTTGAGAATTATGGGGCTGGCATGTGGTATCACTTATGGGCGGTAAATCGTGCACAACATGCCCATTTTTATGGCCAAAAGTCAAACAATCCCCATTATCATGCATATCCACATGTGTAGCAACAAAATCTCTTGCAATATTTGTTTGTGCACGTGGTTCTACATAATGTCTAGGTTCGGCAACATTAAAATTAGGAGATAAATTAACTGGCCGCATATCAAGTGATTGAGCTAAAGTCAAGGAACTAACCAAAACCTCCTTGCCTTTGCGCCGGCGGCTCTCTATGCATGCACCAGTGAGGGCAGCCAATGCTACGTCGGAGATGGCCGCGGAGTCGACGTGATGTAGGTCGCTGGCAGTGGGGTGGTGGATAACTCTACCTGTATAGGTGTGTGCACCGGGAGGAGGGTCTGGGGGTAGGTTTAGGCCAGCGATTGGGTCATCGCCGGCGGTTAGATTGGCCATGGGATTGGTTGATGAGGGTAGTATGTCGGTGATGTTATGTGCAGTCGGTGGTTGAACATGTGTTTTTTATTGGAGTCGGTGGCTCGAAAGTTAAAGCAATATCAATTTCTGAATGAGAAATGAATTCATAAATTCTTTAACTTACCTTGCGATGGGGTATTTGTGGTTGAACATGTGTCTTTTAGTGGAGTCTGCGGCTGGCAGTTGATACCCCATGCGATGCACAGACTTATAAAATATTTTTGCACTTTTACATTTTTCATGCATTCAGACAATTCGTACATCAAAAACATCTCTTGTCTCTCATTTGAACAACTAAATTCCAATAATTAACCATTAGTGGAGATAAAGGCCTATATATAAGTGTTAGTCATCTCCCTTTCAATGCACTTGAATGTACAAATTTCCATCACTCCTGTGTGCATTAGAGATTGGGGTAAAGCACTACATTCCTCTATTGAAAAGCTACAGAGAATTGATTTGGGAACAAGGGGTTGCTATCGTTATTAAGTTTTGATCATCAAAATCACTATGCACATATTTGTCGATTACCTTAATTAATTATATGATGATTATTGGATTTGATTATATAAAATACACTAAATTCGTATTTAATAGGGCTTAATAAAACCAACAGAGGTCCACCAATTTCATCCCTCCCTAACACTCCACCCTTCATTCCCACACTTAACCACCATGCCAACCCTCTAACCTCCACCTCTCACCACTTATTACACCTTATTAATTATAACCTAGAATTTATTGAATAGTGAAAAAAATAATAGAGTCAGAACATAAGTAAATTGTGATCAGTATCATTATTTGGACATTGAGAATGCATAATAATTGTAGTATGGCCAACTCTAGAATGACAATATCAAATAGATTGCTTGATCCCAACCGAATATCAAAAAGTGGTATTTGCATGGAAACATTGAAAATAAGGTACAACAATTAACATTCTCAAAATTAATGGAAGAAAAAAATTAGACAATTACCAAAAATAACTTTTGATTGGTAAAAAGTATGGACCTAGTCCATATGACATCAAGACCATCACGACCAAATTCTGCATCAAATACACACAAATCATCCATAGCTCTTTCATTTTGCCATCAACGAACATATCCATCTTACTTTCATATTACAAAAAAACTTGGCTCCATTATGGTCTTTCACTCTCATATCTTTTGCATCTTATCATTGAAAAATGGTAAAAGGGATACGTTTGAGCAAGAGGGATACAAATTCGAAAGAGAGACTTGAATGAGTGGAGATCTGTTTTTTGATAAGATATGTAGTGGAGAGTTAAAAATTGAGAAACGTTGACAGTTTAAAAATTGCAGTTATTTTTCAGTTCAAAACAAAAATATTCTTATCTAGAAGGGAAAATTAAATGATCATGCAACAACTAAAAGAACTAATAAAAAGATGCCAAGTAATTTTTTTCCTAAAACTTTGAAGTTAAAAATTCAGAAAATTAGAGAATCAAGTTTGGAGTCCATTCCTTAATTGTAGATACATTGCCATAAAATATAAAGATTTCTTATCTCTCATTTGAACAACTTAATACCAATAATTAACCTCTAGAGGTCCACCAAGTTCATCCCTCCTAACACTCCACTCATCATTACAACACTTTTGGAGGCACCTACCTCCAACAACCACCCTTTAAACACTCTATCCATGAAACCCCAAACCACCTTCCTCCCCCCCAAAAAAAAAAAAAAAAAAAAAACACCATGCCAACCCTCTAACTTCCACCTCTCATCAGTTGTGACACCTTATTAATTATAATCTAGAATTTATTGAAGCGTGAAAGGAAGAATAAGGTCAGAACATAAGCAACTTTGGAAATGTCTCACCATTTGCAAAAACTCTTTCAATAACTCAAGTATCAAGCTCAGTGATTTGTTACTCCAATGATTGATTATCTTAAGATGAAGAAGCTTCACGAGAAAAGACAATCTTGAAAACTTCTTGCTGCCTGGATAAAGTTTCAATTGTGCTTCGTTCAATAATCTATCAATTGTTTCGGCTTCCCCTTCAGTTACATTGTCAACGCCATGGTTGTCAAATGTCTGACTTGAACAATTATTCATAAAAGTTCCCCTATGTACATCTTCAAAAGTTTCTTGTATTTCATCAACATCTTCTTTCACCTCTATAGTTCTGTCATCATTAGCGCCATACACGTTCACGCATTTACGCATACACGTTCACGCATTTACGACACGGGCATTGAATATTATTAGCCTGACCCATATGATCACGTGTATACTCAATAAACGATTTAACTCCATTTTTGTATGCATAAGAAAATCTATAATTTTGCTCCATCCACATACTCAAATCCCTATAGCATAGTATCCAACAAGACAAAAATGAATTAATTTACCAACAAAAAATGAATTATCTTTATATTAGATATAAATATATACTGTAAAGGTCAATTCGTTGAGTGATAATATATATCCAACCTCCTTCACTCAATGCTAATCTAAGTAAAATTTGTTTATAGGATACTTTTATATAAAAGAAAATTACTGAAGTCCAGTAAATTGAAATAACTTAAACCAAAATGTGATCCATAATAGCTACTTCCTAATATACGAATCCAATTAGTTAGAAAAAAAAAATTTATTCCAAACAATTTGAAAAAAATTCATTTCATCACAAAATAGACAAACTTAATTTTTAAGTAATCAATCAAAGTAGTTTTAATACATCACAAGCAAATTTTAAAGTTTAAATATAAAAAATTAATCTCAAATGAAATTCATAGTAACCATAACAAATTTTAAAAAAATTGAGATCTTTCATATAAAATAGGGCTTCGATTTGAAACAAAACTAAATTATAACTTATAATCAGTAGGTGTTACAACTAATTATAAGTTATATGAAACCACCATGTCAACCCTCTAACCTCTACCTCTCACCAGGTGTTACAACTTATTAATTATAATCTAGAATTTATTGAGGTGGGAAAGAAAAGAGTCAAAATAGAAGAAACTTGTAATCAGTATCACTATTTGGACATTAGGAATGCTTAATAATTGTAGTATCACCAAATCTAGAATGAAAATAGCAAATAGATTGTTAGATGCCAACCTAATATTAAAAAGTGTTGTCCACATCGAAACATTGGGAATAAGGTATAAGAATTAACATTCTATTAAATTAATGGAAGGGCAAAGTTAGACTATTACCAAAAATAACTTTTGACTGGGAAAAGGTATGGACATAGTCCAGATGACATTAACTCCATCATGACCAAGTTCTACATCAAACACACACACACAGAGAATCCATAGGTCCATAATTTTGCCATGAACGAACAGATCCATCTTTTTCTCATATTAGAAAAAAATATGGCTCCATTATGGTCATTCATTCTCATATTTGTTGCATCTCATCATTGGAAAATGGGCAGAGGACATTTGAGCTGGAGAGGTGAAGATTGAAAAGAGAGATATGAATGAGTGGAAATTTGTTTTTAATAAGATATAGACTGGAGAGTTAAAAGTTGAGAAATGTGGACAATTTAAAATTACAGTTATCTCTTTTCTAAAGGGGGTAATTACATGATCAAGCAAAAGCTAAAAGGACCAATGAAAAGGTGTCAAGTAAGCTTTTCTAAAACTTTGAAGTTAAAAATTCAGAAAATTAGAGAATCAGGTTTGGAGTCCATTCCTTAATTGTAGATACATTGCTATAAAATATAAAGATTTCTTATCTCTCACTTAAACAACTTAATACCAATAATTAAACACTAGAGATCCACCAAGTTCATCCCTCCCTAACACTCCACCATTCATTCTAGTTCTGAACACACCAACTCCTAACCACCATCCCTTAAAAACTTTATCCAAGAAACCCCACCCCCTCCTCCCCCTAAAAAAAACATAAGCCAACCATGCCTACCTCCAACCTCCTCCTCGTACCATTGTTACACCTTCTTAATTATAATCTAGAATTTATTAAAGTGTGAAAGAAAGAACATATAGTCAGAAAAAAAACAACATATGATCAATATAATTATGAGCAATGCTATGTAATCCAAATTTATAATCCAAATCTACATCTCAAATAAAGGAGGATCATTGAATCAGTGGATCCCATTTAAAAAAGTTGATGAGACTCACTCATCCAACGGTCCCTCTTTATTTGGGATGCAAATTTGG